TATATATAATTAAACTTCAAAAAATATTTAAACAATTAATTCACTTGGATGTGTCAAAAACTGCACTATTTTATCAAACTCTAGCTAATCTAGCTACCTAATATCTACATCAAAAAGGCCTAATTAGATTCTGTCAAACACCTGTCTACTAAAACTTAGATTAAAATTTACCGATTTTTAGATAAGATTTATAAAGCGCTATCTCCTACAAATTTACTTACCATGTTCCATCACTTTAGTAACAGTGGCTGGAAACTTTCTAGCATCACTCCATGCTGCCAAGCACCTTTCTCCTATTACATATTTTTCAGTAGGTTTCTTTGTCAACGTCTGGAATGGTCTAAGTCGTGAGCTATTCATACAAATCCATTCGTCATATTTACTAGAAAATTTTTCAAAGTGGATAAGAACTTCATTTTCCTCATAATCAACTTCTACGATTCGAGCAGGATACCACTCATTATTAAAGTCCAGTGCTTCTATTCGTGAATTGATAGCAAAAGTCATAGGACTTGTGGTGTTTTGGGCTAATTTTGATTTTTCAAATTCGTCTAACTTTTCTTTTGGTTCCACTTTTAACTGACCTTCTAAAATTGAGTGTTCACTTTCTAGTGGTTCCATTTTAATGTCTTCTGGTTCCAATTTAATTTCCAACTTACTTTCTTCGTTTTCTTCAGTCTTTAAGCTTGTACTGGCATCATCGGTTTCTTTTTTTACATTTGCTTCCGCTTTTATTGCTTCCAATTTTGATTTATCCCAGGGAAATACACTTGGCAAAACCCCTTGTCTTAACATATATTTCTTCCCTTTGAAATTACAGAAATCAGCTCTAAGGAAGTGGCGAGAGCAAACGTATATTATTTTAATAAGTTTCTTATCTTCAGGAATTCGACACAACGACATCCATTTAGGCCTAACATCGGAATGCATAGGCACTTTGTGAAAAGTTACCCCGATGTCTTCTAGTCTGTTAGAATCGGATAAACATCCTTCTACACTACATTTACGACCCATTCCTTTGTAATTAAGGCAATTGAATTTTGAATACGAATATCTAAAACAAACTTATATATACTGTTATAGTTTAAGCTATAAGATTATATTTTTCATTTAAGTGCTATCTTTAGTATAAAAAATAACATTATTAATGAACATTGATCATTAAATAAATGTCAAATAGGTATGTAATGTAATAAAATTAATTTCCCTATACTTCATGAGGAGTTTTCTTTTCAGAAACTGAGTTAATTCGATCTGTCGATAACCACATCAGTCTCTACGCACATGACCACAGACACAACACATAGACCACATTGACATTTCGCCACCATTGCACAACACAACACACAATATAGAATATAGATAGATATAGGGATGGGCGCGCGCCATTATTCTATGGCTAGAAATTGGCCTCAATGATTTGGGATCGAGGGGGATTATCCCTCTTTATCCTGCCTCATCTCGTGTAGGCCTGGACAGCCTTCGTAGGTGGGCCCCATCCGTCGTCTACCCCGACCGCAAATGCGGCCGGTGTAGGCGCTTTGTGGGACCTCCTTTTGTCCTGGCTGGGCCCCGCCGGCTAGGGCCCTTTCTTCTGGCGCTCTTCTTGCTTCGCCGGCTCGTCTGTGTAAACCCCGGGGGTAGTGTCATGTTTATG